ACTTCTGTATCCTTCCCTTCAAGGCTCAGCGGTCCAAGATTATCTTCTGTGTCTGTGTCAATTGTTTTCCCTTTTCTTTGTTGAAGAGGATCTGTGCAGTCCTTCTGCCTAGTCCACCATCTTGCCGGAACTCCCGGGAATAAATTTTTTAAAAATGGTTCTATAACTTAAAGAATGTAATCAATGTCACTGAATTAAACATACAGAAATTGCTGAATTGGTGTAGGTTTTGTTGTGTACATTTTACCACAATAAAAAACAAACAAAAAATAACAATAAATAAAGATATACTGCTTACCGGGGCCTTAGGGGATGGGCCTGCAGAGTGGGTGACTGAAGCTGGGGTTTCAGAAACTACTTCAGAAATCACAGCAGCAAGTTTGGCATCTTCAAATTTCTTTTGTAAAAAAAATACATTAATTTTTATCAGTAATATGTTGTATATAAAATTATGTCCACAATATTATCACTTAAATGTAACTCTCAGGATAGCTTTATGACTATTTATTCTCTTGATCCAAATAGAAATATAGTGACTCATAATCTTAAAACCAATTTCATTCTACTTTCTCTTACAGAATATTATTTAATGTAATTTCCTATTTCTACTTCTTATTTTATTATTCTACATGCTGTTCAATAATAATGTAGATTTCTACAGTTTATTTATAACACATTCAGTGCTGTACAATTTTCTGCAGTTTTTCAGCTTTCTTCTTTGCAGCTCATTGCTGTGGATAATTTCTAGAAATGGGTCTGTTTACAGTGCTGGCAATATTCCGCCACACTGTTCTCTCAAAGGTTTGTAGAACTAGCTTGCCAAAAGCAATAGGTGAGCAGGCCTGTTTCGCTCTGGTTTTGTTTGCCAGTATTACATTTTTATCACATATTTTCATTCTGGTAATACAGTAGGTGTAAAATGATATACTACTGTTGTTTAAATTCTCTGCTATATGGTGTGAGGTTTCAGTTTTATTATTTTTTTCCTCCATGTTGAATAATAAATTCAAATACATATATATGGATATAATAATTTGTTTTTATTTTATATTGCTGTGTTGTAATGATTATTTTCTGGCTGTTGAATGAATATTTAATTTCTGATAATGGTAAATAAGTACTTAAATAACTTGCTATATTCTATTTCTTAATAACTTACATTTATACATATAAGATACTTTAGTTGACACTGCTATATTCACCAAGTTCAGATTAAGACAATAATTATTTGTAGAAACAACTAACTAAAAGGCCATCTTTTTAGATGTATAGGCACATGGGAACAACCTGACAATGAAACACATAAAAGAGTAATGTTTAAACTTCTGATGGATAGAAAGTGTGAAAATATACTAATCTCTTCTTTTTTTGTTTAGGTTCTATGAATTGTACTGTTTTATATTTTTGTTAAAACATCTCTTAGAAAATTACTGAACTAGTATTTGCTGATAATTTAATTGCTCTTATACTGATTATTATATTTCTTATTTCAATTAAAATTATTTTATTTATAGCATTGTCTTCTCTACACTATTGGCCAATGTTTCACATACACATTTACATTTAATAATGTAAGACATTTATAAAATCCAACTGTTGGCTTTGAATTATTAATAATTTATTTTATCTCTTAATGATAATTGTTCTTTAAAAATTGAATTGTATTTTATTTGTAAATTTTTTTTTCTCTTTTACATTTGCTAGTATTTTATCAAGTATTAGTTATTTCAAAAGAACAACAGTTGACATTTAACTGAAAATAGCTACTTTTGTTTGGGTGGTTACTTTATTACATTGTTTAGAAAATGAAATTTAACATTCAATAAACAGTTGATTTATCAAGTGTTTCTTTTTCTTCAGTAATTAAGAACTTACAGTAATAAATGTAAACTTACAGTAATAAATGTAGCTCCTGAACACTACATTGTTTGCTTCTCAAAGACTTTAACTGGTAACGTCGTTTCACTGACTTTTAAAGTATATTTTGATTTTTTTTCTTGATTCCAGTATTATTAGGAGAATATTTATATATTTACCTTTTTAAATATAATTTTTTCTATTTTATTGTGATCAAAGTAAATGGTGTGTACAGTAGTTCCTCTCTTACATTTGAAAACATTCTTTATGATCCAACACATGATACTGTTTTTCCAAAGTTCTTAAAACTTGCCGCAAATAACCTTCTATTTTTGACGACTTAAGTTTTCATAATCAATTATTTCAACCTTATTAAGTATAACTTCTACACTAACAAATGTTTTCTTTGCTAGAGTACTGATTTTTCTAAAGGTAGAAAAAAGGTTGTCTTATCTCTAACCATTCACTGCACTGCACTTTCTTTGTGTGTGAGAAGGAGCATATATACGCTCAATGTCATATTTTCAAAATTTTTGAATCTTTAAAAGCAAGCAAAAAAAAAAACAGTCCTAATTATTGTAATAATAGTAATGACAGTGAGGATGAGGAAAGTAATTAAAGTACTGTCCTCACAATTTGGTCATACATCTTGCATTACTGTAATGGTATGACTGCATATATTGGGATACGTGGAAGCTCTCATGGCATAGTGTCTAAGGCACTTGACGGCTAATCAGAAGGCTGGCAGTTCAAACCCACCAGCCACTCCTTGGAAGGGAGGTTGGGCAATCTACTTCCATAGTGATACTGCCTTGGAAACCCAAGGAGGGGTCGCTATGAGTCGGGGCCAACTCGACGGTAGCGAGTTCCTTCTATCTGTCCCTGTATCTAAGCGGATCAGGGCTGGAATGCCTCCATGTATTTTTTTCTGTTTATATGGAGGTGGACGAGAGGAAAGTCATGGAATGGGTAGAATGAACTGCTAGTAGGGGGTTGTGCTTTAATAGGGGTGTAGTGAATACTTTCCATGTCATTGTCCACACAGAAATCTATAAATGTGTTTCCCAACTGACTTCCAACAGTAAATTCAGTAGGTGAGAAACTGAGTTCCCAGTAAATCAATAAGCCAGACTTCCCTCTCTCTCTCTCTCTCTCACACACACAAACACACACACACAGACACACAAAAGCAGTCAAGTTGGGGAACACAGAGAGATGTAAAATATATGTTTGCATATAAACAGTTTTGATAATCCTACAGGAGGGAAACATTACCCAGCATTTACCAAACCTTAGTAACAGAATCCCCTTTGAAGAACATGGAGTTCAGCTCCCTTGGGAGCGAGTTTGGAAATGGTAAGCTGCACAAATATTAATGAGTCAAGTTATTGTCTGAGAGGTAATTTTGGATAAATTAAAATTTAAATCTTCTTTCCAAAGATGTACTTGATATACTACATGCTCATTGGTTCAACTGTTCAGATTAGAAACAACTACTGGCTAAAATAATATCTGGTGGGTTGAAGGCCATTAACTTTATTGATTGTTTCCTCAGCATCCACGTCAGAGTCTAAGTCACAGGTTTCCATTTACTTCTGCCATCCTAAGCATAAGGAAGTAAAACCAGGAGTTTCAGACTTACAAGAGGTGAAGTGTTTACGGGACCAGAGAAGTCCTCAGACAATGCTTCAAGAAGGAGGTCTTCACTCATGGGCTGTAAGAACCAGTAAATGCATCAACAAACATCATTCATCTCTTCAAAATGAGGTTGATATTTACATGCTAAAGAAGTCTAGTGGTGCAGTGGTTAAAAAATTCAGCTGCTAAACAAAAGTTGTTGGTTTAAACCCACTAGCTGCTCCTTGGGAGAAACATGAGGCAGTCTGCGTCCATAAAGATTTGTTGTTATTGTTGTTATGTGCCATCGAATTGTACCTGACATAGCGAACCCTCCTTGGGTTTCTGAGGTGGTATCACTATGGAAGTAGATTGCCCAACCTTCCTTCTGAGGAGTGGCTGGTGGGTTTGAACCACCAGCCTCCTGGTTAGCAGTCAAGTGCCCTAGGCACTACGCTACGAGAGCATTCATCCATTTTTAAAAAATTACCAAAAACTTACTTTGTGCATACAGTGTGAATAATATAATAAAATACATAGGCTTGTACATGCCCTCACAAAGCTTAGAATCTAACAGGCAAAAGAGAAAACTATGC